TGTTACATGTTCCACAATTGCCTATAAATTTGTTTTCTGTCAGTAGCATAACAAACTCATTAAACTGTTTAGTGTCCTTTTTCCCTTCTTGTGTACCATAGGATTTGGACTCGGGGAAGATGATTGGTAGAGGTTGTATGGTGGGTGGTCTTTACATGCTGGAGAATAAAGCTAGTCTTGCGGTTATTGAGTCTACGAGTCAGTCTAGTAAGAGTTAGGTCTATTTATGGCATAGTCGTTTGAGTCATTTATCTTTTGAGTCACTAAAGGTCTTGCTTCCAGATTTGTTTAAAGTAGTGTCAGTGTCTGAATTTAAATGTCAAACTTGTCAGTTGAGCAAACATTGTAGAAATCATTTTTCTTCAAGAAATAATAAATCTGATCTCCCCTTCCATATTGTTTACTCTGATGTTTGGGGCCCTATTACCTTACCATCTGAGCTTGGCTATAAATACTTCATTACACTTATTGATGACTAGTCCAGATATACATGAGTGTATCCCATGCAGTCCAGAGATGAAGTGCCAGAAATTGTAAAAGATTTCCAACACATGATATTCACTCAGTTTCAGATGGAGATTCGAATTTTCCAATCTGACAATGTGAGAGTACTTCCACAGTGACGTCATAGAGTTCTTTGCTTCGTGTGGGTCTATCCACCGTAGCTCTTGTGCCAAAACTCCTCAACAAAATGATGTTGTAGAAAGGAAAAACTGACATCTCTTTGAAGTGGCTCGTGGGTTGCTTATCCACACGAATGTTCCAAAACGTTTTTGGTTAGATGCTATGTTATGTGCTGCCTATCTCATCGACCACATGCCATCTGGCTTGCTAGGGTACAAGGCCTCCATCAACTCTTCTTTCCTAAAGCTCCTCTTTTTTCTATCCCTCTTCGTGTGTTTGGTTGTCGTTGTTTTGTTCAAAACTTGTCTCCTACCCGTGGTAAACTTGAGTCTTGTGCTATTCTATGTGTATTTTTGGCTACCCTTCTTCACGAAAGGGTTACCATTGTTTTGACCCTGTTTCCAAGAAATACTATGCTTCTATGGATGTGCCTTTCTTTGAGAGTGATTCTTTCTTTTCTGTTTCTCCTTAGGGGGAGAATAGGGTGGAGGAGAAACATGTCCAAGTACTACCTCCTCTGCCTGAACCTTCTCCATTTCGTGTCTTCCTTCGTCGTCGCAAGGTCCAGCCGAGTTCAAAAGCTGTGCAACAACTTGAAGCTATACCACCAACATCATCAGATTGATTGGGGACAAATCCTATCCAACTAGGTACTATTATTCCTATTGATATTCCTGACCCTACTGCTATTGATTCTTCATCTGCTAATGACCTTGACATCCCTATTGCACAAAGGGAGTTAGGTCTTGTACTACCAACCATCCAATCTCCCGTTTTGTCTCATATGAGAACATCCCACCCTCCTTTCATGCTTTCCTCTCTACCATTGATAGTGTCCCTATACCTAAAAATGTGGCAGAGGCTCTTTCAGTACCTGAGTGGACAGATGCAATGAAAGAAGAGATAAATGCATTACATAAAAACGGGACATGGGAGTTAATGGATCTTCTTGTGGGTAAGGAACCGATAGGGTGCAAGTGGGTTTTTACAGTAAAGCACATGGCAGATGGCATAGTAGAAAGGTATAAAGCCCGGTTGGTGGCAAAAAGGTTTACTCAAGTGTATGGAGTAGACTATGTAGAGACATTTGCTCCAGTAGCTAAGATGAATTCTATTAAGGTTCTTTTCTTTCTTGCTACTAACCTTGATTGGGATCTCCACCAGTTAGATATTAAAAATGCTTTCCTGAATGGTGATCTTGAAGAAGAGGTGTACATGGTACAACCTCCTAGTTTCTATGCCCAAGACCAAGAGCAGAAAGTGTGCAGGTTAAAGAAGTCCTTGTATGGACTAAAGCAGTCACCAAGAGCTTGGTTTTGCAAGTTCCATCTAGCGATGCAACAGATTGGCTACAAACAGTGTCAGGCTGATCATACATTATTTGTGAAAAAAGGAGAAGGGAAAATTGCACCCTTGATAGTGTATGTTGATGACATAGTGATCACAAGCGACTGGAAGGTGGAAATTAAGAGACTAAATGAATTCCTAGCCACTCAATTTGAGGTGAAGGATCTAAGTCCCTTGAAGTATTTTCTTGGAATTGAAGTGGCCCTTTCACAAAAGGGGATCTTCATTTCTCAAAGAAAATACATCCTAGATTTCTTACAAGATATAGGAAAACTTGGAGTTAAGCCTGCTAACTCTCCCATTGATCCAAACCACAGACTATGTAATTGCCAAGGTGAGATTATCAAGGATGTAAAGCAATTCCAGAGACTTGTGGGTAGGATGTATTTTTGTATTTTTATATAGTAGGGGTATTTATAAATTTTGGACAAAAATGCAATTATTGCAGTTTAGCCCTGAGACTTGCCCTAACTCAACCAATCCCTACCCTTTGTTTTCCCTAAACTCTATTCTAGCTAATTAATCCTTTCCAATTTGACACCACAAAAGAGTACTTTGCAAGAAACCTCAATTCACAAGTCTTATCTGGTGGATCAGAGTGTTACTCATCAAAATTTCTTCACTTATAGTCCTCAGCAGAATGGGGTGGTTGAAATGCAAAAATCTGAACATCTTGGAAGTTTCTAGAAACTTGCTCTTTGATATACATATTCCTACTTATTTCTAGGGTGTTGCAGTTCAAAAAACTATCTATTTGATCAATCAGATGCCATATCCTCACTCGTTATTTCTTGGCAATCCTCTTTCTATCTCTTTTATGTCTTTGGTTGTGTTTCCATGTTTTGGGTTCTCATAGGTCCAACCTTGAACCAATGGCTTTTTGAGGAATTTTTCTTGGACGATCCTTTTGGAAACTTTATACCACTATGGATGTCACCCTCTTTGAGTCCACCCCTTCCTTTTCTCCTGGTGCCTTTTTTCACTTGGAAGATGTAAAGATTGGAGTAGACACATTACAGGACGGTAAATTCATTATACCTGGAATCTCCGACTCTGCTCCCATTCCTAGTATTATTGATACATTACATGAAGAGTTGCAAGTGTAATGGAGAACAAGTTTAGCTCCTTTTGTTAATCTACTACAACCTTCAAAATCATTGAGGCTAGTGTACAACAGTACAAGGGCAGCATTGGTGTGGACTGTTTGGAAGTAGGGGTGTCAATTGGACTGGATTTGGTCCAACCCGATCTAGTCTAATGCGAGTCCATTACAAATACACCAGGTCCAATCCAATCCAATGAATATATTGGACCTGTTCAATTCAATGTCTGGACCATCCAATCTGTTCAAATTTGTTTTAATTTAGATTTGTTCTAGCCCAAACCTGGTCCATTGACACACATGTTCTTATCTCCTATCAATGGATCAGATATTGGCTCAATCCAACCCAATCCAATATAAATTCATTACAGATGGACCGGGTCCAATCCAATCCAATAAATACTTTGGACCATTAAGTCTGGACTAGTCCAATTCAATATGCCTTGTTGGTCCGTCTAATCCATCCAAATTGAGTTTGGTTTGGACGGGTTCCAATCCAAAACCGATCCATTGATACCCTTATTTGGGAGGAAAGGAAAGCTAGATTTATTGAAGATAATGAGAGAAGTAAAGAGGCATTCATTGAAAGTATATTGTTTATGATGGATCGTCGGGTGAAGACTGGGGAGTTATTTTTGTTATCCCTTTCCTTTGATGATATCATGAGAAGTTTGACAGCAGTTGAGGGATCCTCATCAAAGAAGGAAAAAGTGGTGGGTGAAACCGTGGACAAATCCAGAAAGAAGTGTTATAAATTGAATTTTGATGGAAGCAGCCTTGGGAATCTTGGACCATCTGGAATAGCAGGAGCCTTTAGGGATGAAGAAAGTATCTAATTGGTCTAGGAAACTCAACAGGAGCTGAAATATTGGTTGCAATGTTTGGAGTAGAGAAGGCAGTGGCAATGAATGTAGAAAGATTAATAATTGAAGGAGATTCAAAGACTGTAATAAGTTAGCTGCAGGATGAGAGGAGACTTCCATGGAAATACAGAAACAAGATTAAAAAATTCAAATGGGTAACAAGTAATATGCAAATAAAGGTTATATTGGTTCAAAGGTCTGCTGATAGTTTGGGTGATTTGCTTGCTAGGCAATGGGTAAATAGAAACCAAATTTTTGGGGCTTAGTTATAATGTAATTTAAATGGGAAGAGATAGCATGGACTATGCTCTCAAGGCTTCTTTGTATATCCAAGGATGTAATTATTGTATACTTTGTTATAAGTTGAATAAAATGCTTCTGTAACCTATCCAAAAAAAAAAAAAAAATCTTTGGGGCCAAGTAAAATGGTTTTACCAAAGGCTTGTTGCTGCAGTGTAAAATTATCACTCTTTATGTTGTTTTTTCTTCTTTTTGCAAACTTTTAGCTGGTTAGTGTTGAAGATCAAAACAAAGGGAATCCATACTCCCTCCATAAGCTGATCAGGAACATAACAGATTCCAATACCCAAAGCCAAAAAGAATGTAGGAAACTCAAAAGGAAAAGAACTTGAAGAGGAAAACATAAATCTATACCGTCCTGGCATATTTCCCCAATAAAATGCAGGACAATCAACTACTCCTCTAGATAGGCTGTCAAAAAAAAAAAAAAATAGTGGACCTTGGGATCCATCTTAAAGTGTTGTTCAATCTGTAAGCTAAGATTTTTGCTTCTCTGATAAATTTTTTTTTTGGTGGTTACAAATGTCTCAAAGTTGATGATCCATCTAAGTTGTTCTCCATCTAATAGTGATCTCTGTGTTCCTTATATCTGCTCTGCTGAAATAAGTGTGCATGCATCAACCTAGGGCCTTGAAAAAATCTAGAAAATGTTAACATTCAGATTCATTTTATCTTGCTTTTTTAGCCAAGTAATTTGGTTTTATCTAGATCAGGCTTCTCTTTGTGCTCTTCCGAGTTCACATTATGTTTGGTTTTGTCCACAGCTACATGGAGTCAGATCCTGTGAAAATTGCAGTGGAAGGTGTTGAGCGTTTTAAGAAGGAAAATTGTGATCTTATTATTGTAGATACAAGTGGACGCCACAAACAGGAAGCTTCTCTTTTTGAAGAAATGCGTCAAGTTTCTGAAGCAACGGTATTTCATGTTCTTTTATTCCTGTACATTATCTAATTTTCCTGAACTTTACAAATACTTAACTGTCTCTTCTAAATCATTCAGAAACCCGATCTTGTTATATTTGTCATGGATAGCAGTATTGGTCAAGCTGCGTTTGATCAGGCTCAAGCATTTAAACAAAGTGTTTCAGTTGGTGCTGTCATTGTTACCAAAATGGATGGTCATGCAAAAGGAGGTGGTGCTCTTAGTGCGTGAGTATTGTTGTATTACTAGCTCTCTTAATGTCAATAGTTACAACTGATTGTTGAACATTATAGTTTTTTCTGTAGCAGTTGCTGAAAATTTTCTTTTAAATCTTGATATGTTAACTATTCTTCACATAGTCATGGCCCACCTACCATCCATTTCACTTAACTTTGTTTCTTGAAACCAGTAATTTAAAAGGCACGCTTAGGTGCACAGGTGAGGCACATTTTAAGGTTTGTGTCTCACCTAGGCCTCAGGCACAGCATTTTGAAAAGGCATGCGCGGTTTCAAAATTTGCGCCTTTTGCTCCATTTTAAGCCTAGCATCTTTTCAAAATTCTTCACATTCCAACTGACAATTGACAATCTTCATATCTTTACTTCTAGCTACCCTTTCTTTCCTCCACTACCCTATCTACTCCCTCTCCTTTTATGCCCTCTTCCACTGAATTCTAGACCACCTTCAATATCTGAAATAGTCTCTCAACTTCCTTTTCCTCTTATTACCCTCCTCTTAACTCTTCCTAACATCCATTTTACCTCTTCTAGGCTGTTCACATGAAGACCTAGCTTCTCAGAAAACTGGACTACTGGATTTTAGACCTGTTCATGGGCTGGGATCGGGCTCATCTTTTTCCAAAATTTGAATGGGCCCGGCCCAAAGCCCGAGCCCGACATAGTGTAGATTCAGGCCCGAAACCTGGCCCGTGAACAGTTCTATGGATTTCCTTCCAATTTCTTAAGCCATCTCATCATCCCCCCTTCTATCAGATAATTGCCAATTTAACTTTGCATTCCCCCCATCTCTGTCTCTCTCCTTTGCAATCCTAGTATCACTTTTTCCTTCAACTCTTCAAGCAAATTGCTTATCAATTCCCAAATCTTTCCCCCAAGCTCCTTTTCTTGTAATTTAGCCATGTCATACTTGTCTCCATCTTTCCTTTCTCCCTTCCCTCTAACTATACACTCCGTTGCTTCAACAGACAGAGGCTGGGACTGAACCAGATCTGCAAGAGACACAGAGACAATATTAGTACCCAAAACAGAATTGACAATCATACCTTGAGGGGGAGTAACAAGGATTTCTGGTGTCAAAACAGGAGCAACAGCTACAGAGGTTCAGCCTTCCTCTGTGAAAGGTCATTTGGGTTATCTTCCATGGTATTAACAGAAAGACCACCTTTTTTCCATGTACAAATCCTCTACACCCGATATCTCTCGATTAAGCTTTGGGTCAGAGTCTGCACTCTCATTGCGTTCACCTTGCATTAGTACCAGATTTGGCACGTATTCCTCTTCATCTGAGCTCCGTTTCGAACCGCCTTCTGTGTCCTGCTTTCCTTTTTCATTCTTTGGAACCTCCTCCCCTGTATTTTCATTCTGTTCTTGGGGATTGTCAGCCACTGTCTTCTTTTCACCTTCACCGAAGAGGACATCAGTGTTTAGTGAATCTGCCACCTCCACCTCTGCTATCCCCTCTAAGTCCACACTACCAATGCTAGAGGTTCCTTCTGATTCGCTATCTTATTCTTCAGGAATACTTACTCATCCCTTGTCATTTTCATCTTTCCCTCCTTCTAGACCTTCTTCTCTACTCTGAATTGTCAAGATCTTTCCAGTCCATAATCACATAGTGATTTATCTCTTTCCACAAGGAAAAAAAATATATAGGAATTGATTTCTCCACCATTATGGATTACTCACTTCACAGTAAAGTTACTTTATCCTATGAGTGTTCTGGACCTTGGAATATGTCTCAAACACCCTATTTGGATCAGTGATTTAAAAGGTGCACCTAGGTGTTCAGGCAAGGCACATTGTAAGGTATGCGCCTCGCCTAGGTCCTAGGCACGACACTTTCAAAAGTTGCACGCCTAGTGCGCCTGGTGCACCTTGCACTTCAGCCTATGTGTGCGCCTTTTTAATTGTTTTTGCTCGCACACCAAAGGTTTGGGAACCCCCTATTTGCTAATGTTGTTCATTCATTCATCTAGTAAAATATCTTCTTAAAAGACAATTAACATTATAAAATCATTTATTTTTGTGTAAGGATTATGAAATTAAGACCCTAATATGGATTTGTTTGGCCTTTCCTCACGGAGCTTGGTACAAAGGCGGCTCGTAGAATAAAAAATGCAAGATGTTTTACATCACATTAGCTATTTGAAGTAATGCAATTGAGGAAAAAAGAAATTATGGGTTTTACATGCTTGAAAATGCTTTTATATGTTTGATTTTATTTTTAAATTTTCATTTGAATATGCTTACATGGTATGCTTATGTATTTTAATTTTAGATAATAGGTTTTTTAAAATATTTATTTTGAAATTAAAGTTTTATATTTTTATTTAGTTTGAAATTACAATATTTATTTTGGGGACAGATACCACAATGGGAAGGGGATGTATAATGAATCATTGTGGAGGTGGATAACCAAAGTTAGCCACCTTTAGGAGGGTTTAGCTGATGTAAAATATCACATTGTACTAATAACTCTTTTCTTCATTCATTTGACAAAATTCAGGACAGTTACTTATAAAAAATCATCTTAAGCAAAATCTTCTAATTGGATTTTTTTTCACACAAATTGTGAACAACCAATACCCCAATCAGATTACTCCAAATCTGCACCTAGGAAAGCTGTCTCTAATCTCTTGTGGTTTCCACCATCTGAAGGGTTCATAAAGTTAAACTTTGATGGAAGCAGTGAAGGCAACCCCGGGCCATCAGGTATTGGAGGTAGGGGTGAGCAAAAAAAACCGGAAAACCGAACCGAAAAATCAGTTAACCGAACTGGTCGGTTCGGTTTTGGTTAATTGAATTGATTTGTGTATATATACAATAATATATATATATATATTATATTTTTATTTTTAAAATCGAATAACCTTATTGGTGCGTGTCTGTCACTCTGTCCGCCTGACGCCTTTTCAATTTTCATACAAGTCCCAAAAGAAAAAGTAAAACCTTAGTACCTTACCTCTCCATGTAAATTTGTTATTTTTTAAAATCCAATAACAAACATGCGTGCGTCTGTCTCCGCCTGGCGCCTTTTCAGTTTTTCCTCTTTTCAAATTTTCCCTTCTTGGAAACCTAAACCAGTAAATGTAATAGGCAGTAGGCTTTCTCACTCTCTCAGTCTCTCTTGTGATTCTTGTCTCTTGACTCTCTTCGTCTTCCTAGTTTTTTCTCTAGCGCGTCCTCCGACCGATGGCCTCTCAAGTCTCACCTAGTGGTCAGTTTTCCTCTTGCTTCGATGCTTCCCTGTGCCTCTTTCTCTCTCTGTTGCCTGTCATCTCCGTCTCCGTCGCGCCAACCATCAAGACGCCAGTCGCCGCCTCAACTCCGATTTTTTTTGCTCACGCCTACAACAACCAACCAAGACACTAGTCGCCGCCTCAACTCCACCAGGACCACCACCTCCCAGGCTTTGTCGCTGTCTCTCTCATCTCTCATCTCTCATCTCCGCGGCTCCACCACCTCTTAGGCCAGGTAATTGTTTCCTTTTTTTTCTTAATTTTGAGTGCAAAAAAAAACCAAAAAACCAAACCACGGTTAACCGGTTACATTGGTTCGGTTTCGGTTTAGATTTTAGAAAAACTGATCAAGTTGGTTCGGTTCAAAAAAAACCCCACGGTTCGGTTAACCGAACTGTGAGCACCCCTAATTGGAGGTGTATTCAGGAATGAGGAAGGACAGGTGTTGGCTCTTTATCTGAGTCAATTGGTGTAGGTGATTCTCTCAGGGCTGAGGTTTTGGCTGCTTTGGAAGTGTTAAAAAGGGAAAAAGAATTAAATATCCACAATCTATCATGGAAGGCGATTCCAAGGTAGTTATTGGCTGGTTAGAAAAGGAAGAGAATGGTCTGTGGGAATTTGTAAATGAAAAGAAGAAATTCAAATGGCTCTCTAGAGGTATGGAAGTAAGACTTCAGTGGGTCAAAAGGAGTGCAAACTAATTTGCAGATGTCTTAGCCAAACAGGGGGTAGGGAGGACTCAATCTATGTGGGCTTGCTTGTAACTCTTTATGATAGTGTTGATCTCAGGGAGGGTAAGAGAGCTTACCCCTCCTCTTGGTTGTTGTACTTGGTGCTTTTTTAATTTTAATAAAATTTCTGTTACTGATAAAAAATGTCCATACAGAATTTATAAGAAAAATCACCAAACTGATTTGGATCCTTTCAACATAAAAAATAATCCATAAATCAAGCTCAAGAAGAATGTCATTGTACAACCTGCTGACGATGATATGCCACCTTACCAACTAGTCTGTTTGATTAGATCAGATGTAAAGTTTCTGGTGTAATAGGAGTGAGGGAGACAGAAAAGAGAAATTGAGTGAGTTGACCAGAATAAGGGAGTCAACCCTGAAACTTGCATTCCTTATTTAGATAAAATTTTATAAATACCCTGCTTCTAAGCTATGATATCCAACACCTCACAACAATGTGAATTTCTCGCTCACTTGGATTAAAAGATATGAAAATGCCTTGTCTGAAACATATGCAAGGGAGGTGAATAGGACGGAAGAAGGGGGCAGGGAGGTGCCAATCAAGAGTAGGCAGTATTGTTCTACTTTAAGTACTTTAGGGTGTTGTAGCCTGAGGACCACTTGCAACATTAAGGGAAAGAGATATTCAGATTCCTGGAAGGAGAGTTGGAGACAAATATCCAGAATGATTTGGTTAAAAGCAGGTGATACCAAAAAAGAGGAGAGTTGGAGAGAAAATCCAGAATGATTTGGTTAAAAGCAAGTGACAAAAATACAGCTTTCTTTGACACTTATGCCAGTGCAAGAAGGAGGAGATATTTCATTTCAAGAATCCAGGTGGAAGGAGAGATGGTAGATTCCTGGAATGAAATCCAGGAGAAGGTGGTTTGTTTTTACAAGGTCTTATATACCTCAAAGAAGTGGAGATGGATATCACTTGGAGACTTGATACCAAAAAAGTTAAATGAAAATTCAGCATCTTGGATTGAGAGAGTTTGGGCTGAAAAAAGTCAAA